CGCCTAAACGGTGTTTTGCAAAATGTAACTTTTTAAAATATCGTTTATAACGTCATTGCTCTTAGACGAATGAGAATTTAAAAAAAAAGTTTAAATAAATTATAGCTGGTAACTTAACGAATCCAACGAGGGGTATAGTTTGAAAATATCTTTATAATTAAAGGCACAAGGAGAAAAAAAGTATGACGTTGCACGGAGTAGCGGTGGTCGCTTTTCAACCGATTCGATGAGTCCCCTCCTTCAAGCAATGTTTTTATTCACTTCAACTTGCGTAAGTAAACATCTTCTTGTTCATGCTCGAACTGAATCTTCTGAAAATGATTTATTTTGATTTTTCTCAATAAGTAATAAATTTTTAAACTTATGTGAAGTGTATTTATTAACACACACTTTTCCACTACAATCATACAATTGAGCAAGCATGCCACTTAATTTTTTTACCAGGAACACCGTCACGTTTTACATCCAAAAAGTAATTATTGTTATTGCTTTCTAGACATTTTTGGATTTGCAAATAATAATAATAATGACTTTATTTGGACACACTATGACAAATATATAAACAATACCAATATTACACATACAACTTGGCGTCCAAAAGGCGAAGTTCACTAAGAGGCATGCAGCCCTTCGTGCTCTTCCACTTAACCCGTTTAATAACAAACTAAAATTAATAAAAAAAATTTGATGGTCTAAATTAACAAGAAAAAAAATACACAAATAAAATTTAGAAACAGAGTAACTTGAAAGTAGATTAGTAACTAAGATGTTAAAAAACCGTGGTAAACTTTTTGTTTAACTTTAGATGGTGTTAATTGTTTAACGTTCGACGAAAGTGAGTTATAGAGCTTGGCTATATTGTATGAAAATGACTTTTTAAATAATTCTAAGTTATGGTTAGGAATGGTAATCAAATCTTTCCGACGAACATTAATATTATGAACATCTGTTCGAAATGTCATTTTATTATATAAATAAGGTGGTGATTTAAACAAGATAATTTTGTGAAATGCAGTGGCAGAGTAGAGAAGTCGACTTTTTTCCACGTTTAGCCATGGAATACACTTTAACTTGTGAGAAACCCTTTCAAACCTCCTAATTCCGTAAATTAAACGAACACATGAATTTTGAATAATCTGTATTCTTCTTTCAAGAAATTTAGAAAGACAAGGGCCATACACTGCGCTACAAAATGAAAAATGGGATAGCACGAGTGATCGACAGAGCATAATTTTTGAAGAGCGAGAAAGTAAGCCTTTAATTCGATGTATATATCTAAGGCTAGCAAACGCCCGTTGTGAACAATTTTTGATATGCGTTTGATAATTGAAATTGACGTTTAAGCTTAGCCCGAGATTTTTGGCTTCCTGAACAAAAATTTTTTATTTCCGATTCTTATATCTAAGAGTGAGGAAACTTCGGCACGAGTAGCTGTGTTGTGTGATGCACCAAATAATAGCAACTTACATTTACTGGGGTTAATATGTAATGAATGTTGTTCAGCGTAATTTAGGAAAGTATTTAAATCTTCGTTTATTTCACCGTTTGCCTTCTCAACTTCAGTTTTAGAAAATGCATAATATAACTGCGTACCATCAGCGTACAGGTGGTAATTGCAATATTTTAATTTGTTTATAATATTAGCAGTATATATTGAAAAAAGCAGAGGCCCTAAAATAGAACCCTGGGGAACGCCACATCGCAAATTAATCATTGTTGAAGTCTTCCCATTAATGTCAACTAATTGGCTCCTGTTTTTTAAATAATGAAGGAGAAGTGTAATAGAATTCGGGCCAAAGCCAATATAATGTAGTATTGCCAACAAAATATCATGATCAATCGTATCAAACGCTTTGGAGAAGTCCAATAATATTAAGACTACAAACTTGTACTCGTTGACAGCAGACAAAATGTCGTCATGAACTTTAAGTAATGCCGTTTCGCAACTGTATCCCCTTCTAAAGCCAGATTGATGTTCGGGAAGAATACGTGATAATTCTAGGAAATTCTGAATTTGATTAAATAACACTTTTTCAAGCACCTTAGAGACTAAGGGTAAAATACTGATGGGTCTTAAATCTGAATACGCTTTAGGAGAGGAAATTTTTGGAATCGGGCGCACTATTGACGTTTTCCATAGATCTGGATAATCGCAACGTTCAATGCAAACATTTACTAAATGTGTGACAACAGGTATAATACTTGGACAACATAACTTAATCATTTGTAGTGAAATATGATCAATCCCGCATGAGTTTGATTTTGATTGAAATTGGGTAATAATTTCAACGACGTCTTTGGTGTCGATCATACGAAAGGTAAAATTTTGGATATCGTGTACAAAGAAGTTAGATTCATAATACTGTACCGATTAACAGCATTAGCATCTGTTAAATGAGAAGGTAATTTGTTTCGAAAGCTATTGTGACCTACACCAAGATCTGACAATTTTTTATACACGTTACTGCTATTAGATTGGTATTTAACACTATGCTCCATGAACGCACGTTTTTCCCTTAAAATTGCGTTGTTGGCATAATTTCTCAAGATTTTATAGTAATTCCAATGATTATCCAATTTTGATGCACAAAACTTCCTAAAGGCATTGTCACGCAATCTTATCAGCAATCGTACATTATTGGTTAACCACGGAGCTTTTGGTTTCGTTACCCGGCATTCCGGGTAAAATATAATACAAACAGCCTGTTTTAGACGAACTAAAACAAATGGCAGTTATATTTTATGGAACTTCCACCCATATTCTTCACAATTAGACATATTTAAAATGGGAGTCAAACTGCTTTTCCATATAAAATATTGATAAAATGCTGTTAAGCTGTGCTGTTTAAGGTTGTCCAACATGAAGACCGCGGGCCGCTTGACACCTAGTTTTTTGCGACCCGTAAAACAAACACTAAAATGTACACAATTCCTTCAAATAAAAAATATGCACATCACTGATATGTTGCATACAAAGATGTTATAATGCGACCCTCCAAGTTGAATTTTTCTTAAGGGCCACTTGAAATTGGCCATCCCTGCTCTACATAAAGTAAATCGTAGTTAGTTTTTTTGAAACACTTTCCATGCAGATGCTTTTCCAATTCTGCTGAACTGACTCCAAACATCGCACACATCGATGTAGAGCATATGAATTTTACTGAACCCCTATTTCAAAGGATGCAAAAATATTGTACGTTTCAGTTTCAAGTGATCCAAAAGTAAGAAGCTATTTGATACAGAAGATATCCTTAGCAATTTAACGAGGTAATGCTGGTCCCATTCCTCGATAGTGTAGTCTAGATGAAATATTATTGTTATAATATTCTTATTCTTAATTTTTATTATTTAAAAACAATTGTAGGATTTTGTACCTATGCGCAGTCGCAGTCTATTTCGATTTCCCGTTGTTACAATATAAATGAGTTGCGAGCAAAATTGTGGTCCAAACTGGGCAATGATAAACTTCCACCTACAACTGACGCCTTAAAAGAGCACTGCTTAAAAGTATTTTATTTTTATCAATAGTTTGTATGATGGAAAAGCGTTTGACTCCCATCTTAGATACCTCTAATTGTGATGAATATGGGTGGAAATTAGATCTGACGGGTATAATTAACCCCATTCAGACAACCAGATACCCGGACATCCATAAAATATAACTGCCATTTGTTTTAGTTCGTCTAAAACAGTCTGTTTGTATTATATTTTTTATTTGCAAATCCAAAAATGTCTACAAAGCAATAACAATAATTGAAAAAAATCAAAATAAATGATTTTCAGAAGATTCAGTTCGAGCATGAACAAGAAGATGTCTACTTACGCAAGTTGAAGTGAATAAAAACATTGCTTGAAGGAGGGGACTCATCGAATCGGTTAAAAAGCGACCACCGCTACTGCGTGCAACGTCATACATTTTTTCTCCTTGTGCCTTTAATTATAAAGATATTTTCAAACTATAACCCTCGTTGGATTCGTTATAAGTTACCAGCTATAATTTTTATTTAAACTTTTTTTTTTAAATCTGATTCGTCTAAGAGCAATGGCCTTATAAACGATATGTTAAAAAGTTACAATTTGCAAAACACCGTTTAAGCGAATGGCTAACGATTATGTGTGCGTTCTTGCCGTATATGTAATATAAAATGCGCGGAGAAAAATCCTTACATTTTTATTACCATTAGAGCTAACGACAAACAAAACGCACCGTTGTAAAGATAATTAAAAATAGGAACTTTTTGAAAAATTCCATTTTTTCCTTTTTTGGGCCGTTTGGACATCGGTATCAACAGACGAATTTAGGGGGTTAATTAGTAGTCCAAACTCTACAGAAAAACATCATTAGATGCTTTTTAGCTTTAAAAGCTTGACGGGGTGGATTTCTAAATCACTTTTGAGCGAGCGGGAACTCTGCTACAATATCTATGGAATTATGGGACAAAATTTGAATGAAACGATTCTTACTTCATTCAGACTAAACTACACAAGACGTAAATTTAGCTTTGGGGTACGAATTACACGGAGTAACTTTCCATGTAGTTGGAGCAAACTTCAGGAAATCTAATAAACCATGCTGACGCGGTTACAGATCCTTCTTTAATAGAGCGATACAGGACCAGAACTGGAAATAATAATCAAATGGATGATACTGAAAAAAACTTATGAACCAGACCGAGGGGGCCGATTATGGTCCGGTACAAAGATAGATACTAAGTAAATAATACAGGTTGCAATTCTTTGATTTTTAAATTTAAAAAAATGTGCTTTTCTTGCTGCTGTACATTTCAGAGCCTTGTCATTTACCACAAGCATCTCAGGGTAAAGCTTGAATCAGCAAAACTTCGTGAAGAGCATTTCGGTCAATGGCATGTCAAGAACGGAAGGCTCTGAACGGGTGACATTGGCGCCAAAGTCCCATCGATCACACAAAGGATACTACAGCAGTATTTTTAATCAGTTTTATTGATAGTAGGTAGGTCACGAGGTAGGTACTTAAAATATGAAGTTCAAAATTTTGTTTACTTTGGTTTTAAAGAAAGTTTACATAATTAAGTTATATAGCACATAGAATATGACACTTTTTTATCTTTATTCGTTTTATTTTAACCGTACAGTAATCGCGTTGATAACAAAAAATATTTTATGGGAAATCCGCCACGGAAATGGATATAGGATACTTGAACGCGCACATTTTTCTTGATATTGCCTGGGTTTGTACAACATTGTAATCTACTTCAGTGAATTCAAAACTAAAAGTATAAATCCTAAGGTGGTGAATGATAACGTAACTTTTGTCGTTGCCGAATTGGTTTTACATTCCACTTGGTATTCTTCAAACACTGCACTGAATACCTTTAAGTCCTTTGAATCAACTTCACAGTTGGTTTTAACAATATTCACCATACATGTGTTAATTGATTGTAAATCGCTAAAATAACAGTTTTGGAAATGTGCACAAGTTACCCGATTAGCCACACTTACCTACAGATTACTGACTTCTGTAATGAAACCACACCCTTGTCGAGATTTTCGATTAGTTTTAATTTCGGTACGCAGGTTGACACAAATTCCGTATTCAAGAGCTGCGCAAATGGTACTTTACACTTACTCGCCGCTAGTTTGTTAATGCTATCTAAGAATAAACAGCAAGTCAATTGGTATTAAGGGCAAATAAGTTTCTTACTTTGATAATCTGTCTTGCAAAATTTATCCAGGATACGCTTCTGCCCGTTCAAAACGAAATCCGGAAAATATTTTTCGTCTGCATCCAAACACTTTTTTGAAGCATCCGCAAGACCTTCTATACATTTTATAACAGTACCGCCAACGTTCGTGCAGTAACCATTTGCATTTATGTCGTTGGAATAATGTTGATTGGCACATGCCATGGTCTGCTGAGCTGACATCTAAAGATAATTAAATTACTGTACAATTAAACGTAAACACTTACTATGATTTCAGCCATTGCGGATGAATCGGCATTCTTGGTACATTTTTGTTGGAGTCCAGTTGATAGTTTGATCATCTTTAACGACAGGTCATCATTCAGTTGTGAAAAAACGTTGTTAGCTAGTAGGAGGTGTTGATTTTTTCAATGTGAAATTTTAATTTTTCACTCACCTAACACTAAAACTAGCAAGAACGGGAACATTGCAAAAAGCATTTACACCGACTACACGAACTTATCATAAATGAACCAAATTCTGTAGGAAGTAATGACACACTCAGCTATCGCTTATTCTGCGTAAAATTTCCCACTATCGATCATTCCTTTTACCAAATTTTATATCTGCCTACTTTAGGTGTAGTCCGTCTAGTTAAATTAATCTTGTAAAGAAACTAGTCTGGGCGAGAAACTCAGTAAAGCGCATTGTAAAGGTTCTAACGACAAATCGTGAGACAACGAACGTGTGTTTTTAGGGTAATTGGACACCGCTGAATTCCGGCTACCAAGGCCTAAAAGCAAGATGGCGGCCAAAAGTGGGATTAAAACTTACTTTAACATTTTTTTCTTGTTGAAAACAAAATTACTTATTATGATTTTTATGTAGCACATACGTTTTTCCACTTATTAATTTAAGATGGTTGCCTGCTTAAGTGAAAAAGAAATACAAAACCTTAATTTACACTTTTTCAAAAATTGCAGACCTGCTGCATTTGGTCGAATGTAGTCTCCATCATTTTCATCGTAAAAAGAGGAATAGGTTTCATGTTCTTAAAGAACAGAAACTCTTAAGTTGCAGGTGTAATTCAAACAGCTATACGTCGTCTAGTATAAAAACAGTCGCAGGTAGCCGCCCACTGCGAAACTTTTTTCTTCGCATGGGTAGATAGAGATGAAACTATAATATCGCAATTTACACCCCACCGGCGATCAGTTTTGCAGTCGGCGGCTACCTACGATGATTGACGTGACTGTTTTTATACTAAAAGAGCAAAACTGCGTCGTCCACGTGTTGGAAGGTTCTAAATTATGCGTGCGTTTTAAAAGATGTGTAAAAAAATATTTGGCCTTGTATTTGTAAACTAAAAATTATTAATACGTCTCTCAAAAATTGTCGAAAATTGATATTAAAATATCATCAAAAGTCTGTACTGATCCTAGGGGTTCCCCAATCCGACCCTGAAAGCGTTGACTTACAGTTAGGAACTCTGGGGAAAACTACGAGCAGAGCCACCTCCCTTTCAAGTCGAAACGACTGACGTTTCGCGGCACTTTTGAATCTCGGTAGCAGTCGGTTTGATGTGGATGTCACGAATCCTACGTTGTGTAATCGGTTATTTTATGTATTGGAACGTAAGACATAATCGGGAAGGGAATTAAATAAAAGACAGAATTTTTGTGCGTCCGGAGGGAATAAGCAAGTGAAATTTATTACGTACGGAGGGGAGCAAAACAAATCCGAAAAGCCAGGAAAATATCAACCAGCGGACAAAAAAACTGGCACAACACACTCAAATACACGATATAAATTAACTACAGCAACAGAATTGAAAATACTAACAGAAATACGAAAATCTCAAATCGTACAACGAAAATCAAGTAATTGAATCTAATGTGGCAAACAAATTAATCAAACAAGATACAAATGACATCATACTTACAAATGGTAAACGATATAAATCATTTGAGTATGAAACACACGAAACACATCAACGGTTCAATTTAGACAAAATAAATCGTAAAATGATAAATTGCCCGTGCATAAGAAAACATCAAAATGGGTCTGCGCAGCCACAGTTACCATAAATGAATTAAACCCGCAAATTCATGTTATAAAGTTCATTATCGCCCAAGCAAAACATATTTTAAATATTGTTGTTCAAAAACAAATATTTTATGCAAAACGTAAATAATAACAAATTGTGACATTCAATTCAATGGTTAATAGGTAGTACAAAAAAGAATAAAATGGTTACGACTTGTAAATGCACCTTCAAAACACAACGAACAAAATAAATAATGAGAAAATCCAGGGAAAGAGTGATGCCCCTCCACCGCTAACTTTCTCTCCTAGTCTTCGTCATCTGCGCAGAACGGTCGAAATCGAAAACGTAGACAAAACCCAAAACAAAGTTTGCCAGACAAAAAAGAAGATATTTTAACAATATTTACGAAATAGTGATGTTTGGCACAAAAAGCAAAAATTTCTCTATTTAGATAGTTGGGGAGAAGTTTGATGGAAGGTTTACCTTAGTGTTATTACGATCCGTGGCTCTTTTTGAAATGAAAGCCCTGTATATTATTAATTTGTATATGTATATTAGATATTAAAAGGATGTTTTTGATTACTACATGTTGACAGATAATTTCTTAGTTAACTCTTGTATAGCCTTCTTTTCTTCTAAATTATAAACGCATGCTTCCTGGTATGAACCAAATACGATCTGCAAGAAATTTTGGAAATCATCGTAATCCTCGCAAAATCTGGACACGTTAATATCACATTTAGCCAACGATTCAATATCACTAAAACAGCAAGTTTGATTAACCAAAAACACAAACTTGGCAATACTCACTTGCAAAGGTCCGTTTCCGTAATGACGTCATCGCGTTTGTAAAGATTCCGTACTATACTCAGCTCTTGGGCGCACGTCTTTACAAATACTCTGAAGATTTCCCCTCCATGTTTGTGGCATGAACTCTTTTGAAACTTAGATCTCTTCACTGAAAAGAACTTCTATTAACCTGGGATAATCAAGCAATTTTACCCAATAAGTCATTCCCCTCGTCTCTGCAATTATTGTCGAACGTGATGTTGTGAGCAAAGAGAACTAGATTCTTTATATACACTTCTTGTGGATCTATACACTTTTGGAACTTCTCAAAGAAGTCCTCGTAACACTTGTAGCTTTTGCCCCGTTGTTCTGTACATATCGTATCGGGTTTGTTGAATTCAATAGGTGCACATCCATTTAGATCACGTACAGCCACCTAAAATGCATTTTGTACATTTTAATTTCTTCAAGGGATTTTGCCATGCCAGTAAATACCTGTAAATCGGAATAAGCCTGGGGTCCTCCTACCGACGCACATTTGCTTTTAAATTTTGATGTAAGCCCTAGCCATATTTGATCGAAAGAATAGTCTATTAGAAAAGCATTTAGTCCCAAACCTATACGTTGAGGAAACTATGGAATTACATGGTACCTATTTCATTTTCATCCCTTACATAATGACAGTAGAACCAAACCGTGTCTGTCTATCATTGCGATTTTCAGTTGACTATAATATTTCAATAACAGTAGTCACGAAATTGAAAAATATCAATATTGATAGCCTTAAATGTTATAACGATAGCGTATATGTACGTATAATAGGTGAAAGGTTAAATAATTTAACCCGGTTAATGCGGTCTTGAAAACAAAAAACATTTGAAATGTTATCAAATAATTTTTAAGTATAAAGGTCTCTTCTCACTTGTGATGCATTCAGCTCGGCGACGCGATGCGATTCCTTGCTGCAAAAAGTCGTAACTTGTAACGGTTCATACAATAAATTTTAATTTCTACGGCACTGGTAACAATTTTACTGTAACAATTTAATTTTTGTAATGAAATAATTAACTCCACGGCTAGCTCAGTAATAAATGAATTTGTAATGGCTCTTACCTTGCGGAAGGTTGGTTCTTTATTGCCCCTTACAATCTGAAAATCCTAACCTATTGAGTCTGGTTCGATTACTCTCAAATAAATACTCATGTAAATTGGCCTGTTTGAATATAACGGGGGATCAAAAATGAGTTGCTGTAGAGTCGCCTTTGGAAGTTCAAGTTAAACATGTAAACAAAAATTCCAAAGGGCACTCGACAGCCACTCATTTTGGATCGCATAGTACAGTGAGCGGCTAAAATATGGAACAAATTCATAAAAAAAATCAGGTGTTGTATTTTCAAAAAAAATGCTCGCACATGTCTAATCATTTTTACTTGCACATTTTTTGCACTGAAGAGAAAATATACAGGGTGCGTAAAAAAGTAGATTTGGATATCAAAGTTGATTTTTTAAATAGAACAGTATTTTTTAAAATCCATTTTTGAATTATTGTTATTATGTTTTCTCCTTAATGTAGTTTCAAAAAACCGAAACGGACCCGACGCAAACCAACTTTTTTATACATGTGAGGGGATATATCTTTAGCACCGGCAACACTGTAGCGTTTTGAATCTTATCTGCTTGCACACTTGCTTCTTATCTATCGCATTTTAATTTCGTTCTTTTTCACTATGAAGCAATTTTCTATACTGGCAAATTTGTAAATTTGAAACCGAATCTTTCTAAGCCTAAAGCGACCACCTGATACACTTAGTGCTGGTTTTGGAGTTAACCAAATTTGGTTCAGCCGTTTAGCCAGTCTTCTAAAAACGCGATTTTTGGTTTGAGCTAGGAAGCTGTTCTGTAAATAATTTGACATATTTTTATTAGACCTAAAACTTTGCGCCTAGGGGTTTTTTTCTTTTTGTAATTTCAATGGCCACAGTAGTTCCAGGGCTTGCAATCTTAGAAACGCTTGATTTTTTTGAAACCAATTCGCGAAAAATACAGACCCAATTTTTAAGCTACAAAAATACTGAACCTTGCCATAGGCGTGAAATGCGAAACTTGTAGATCAACAATGCAGAAAATTCGTAGGTTATTTTTTGTAAGGGATTTAAGAGATCAAACTCGATTTGATTATGCCATAAGAATATCTAGTGTGCCTTCGATGCATATTAATATGTAATACAAACGAAAAAAGTCTGAAATCGATTAAGACGTTTTTCTTTTGTTTCAGAAGCAGATTGACGATCAGGAATATTCGTAGAGAGTAAGTAAACACGTTAATCTTTATTTAAGTGCATAATTAACTCGTTTTAATAACAATAGAAAGTTTTGAAATAGTTGTAAAATAGTTTAAACTGATGAAATTTTCATGTAGGGAAACAAAAGCTTAGATAGCCTTTGGAAAGGATTTATGTTATCCTTAGCAAAACGGCGAAGTTATCTAAGCCGGAGCTGAAGCAGACAAGAAGGGTTATAGATATAGTTCAGAATAATCCATTTCTCTGGAGAACAATGCTTTATTACACAATAACCCTCCTGTGTAATTTAGCCTTTGTACCTTCCAATATATTCATTACTAGTCTGTGTTATACTACAACTAACATCTAATTTCCTATTACAACGTTTTTGGATCGACACGACGCACTAACACGAACCATCGTCGTTAATTTTTATTCGAGCTTATGCCGCAATAATATTGATGGTGTCTTCGTTTCGAAAGGTCTTTAATTTGACTTCGACGATGAATAGAATGTCGGAGATATGCACAAAAGTACGGAGAGAAGCGCGGAATTGTTTCATGCACAATATAGCAGATTGCATTTCCCGCATTACTTGGATGCAACGATGTTAATATCCGTTTACAGTAACTAAACGATCTCAAGCGTTTCCTTTGACAAGTATTGGTTGTAAGCGAGTGTTACACGCTAATTGATTGAAAAAAATATCAATCACTTGACAGTACGTTCTGCCTAATGTGAAAGCCTACTTCAAATCCTAACAAAAGTCAACTGAGATTGATATTTTCAAAGTACTTGGAATCTATGTTGTTTGCAGAATGTTTATGCGGTAGCCTGAAAGTAGTTACGCTGCTCGAAACGTTTTTTTTACCAATAAGAAAGTTAAAGTAACATGAAAATTGCACTAATCTGAGATCTAAACCACTGAGTCGGTAGTGACGAAGGGTGAATGAATGTGTCTAAACACTAATACTAATACGCATTTTTTGCTAGAAACTCGAGAAAAGGCTTGCAAGGATATAGGTATCTTTTAGTTGGACTACACCATATTAGGTTTCGTTATCCCTTTCCCAAGATTTGATCAAATGGAACAATTTTGTATAGGTCGGTCACATCTCTCGTGTCCTTTTTAAAAGGCTTGTCTTTCATTAGAGCCATTCATCGAGGAGCACTAAAGTCTTTTGTGCATTTCTTGATTCTCAAAGTTTTACTTTGTGACGGCCAGTCGTGCCTTCCAGTGCCTTTTATAAATAGAGCATGATCTTCGTAGCGGAATATCACAGCAGTTTTCAAAACTAGGTTTGTACTATTCAACTAGTTCTGCAGGCAGGCTCTTGAGGACTCTAAAGGCATTTATACAAACTTTTAAGAAATATTGGATTTTTACGTCACTCGAAAGAGCAAAAGGTACAAAACCAGTGATACTAAACATTTGAGAATCAATCTTAAATTTTTGCCTTGAAGTTTACAACGTATTTCTTATAGCAATAATTCCATAGCTTGCTTGAAATTATTTGTGATTGAAACCAAATTAATTTGTTTATTGTGTTGCATAGTCTCGATCATCTACACGGCCATGGAATTATTGCCATTATTGTAAACTTCAAGGCAAAAATTCAAGATTCATTTCGAAATATAATAACACTAACAATTTTGTCATTTTTTCGCTATCGATTGACGTAAAAATCCAAGATGGCGTCCATAAGAAATCGGAAAGTGGATATGATTTACTCGAAACCCACAAGTCATGAAAATGTTATCAGAAAGCTGAGAAAAAATCACTAGGGTTTGGTTAAAATTTTTTTTGATATCTTTGAAAATAAATGGACGCCAGTGCATTCTCGAAAATTACATTTTTCAATTTTTTGGCCATAACTTCGCTATTTGTAGAGCTACAAGAATGGGACAACTAATCACCATAAAATTCTGCACAACTTTCTCTTTTTAAGCGACTTTTGTATCTCTTACAGTTTATGAGATCCCCATTGTGAAAATGAAAAAAACTCACTCTGTATATTAAAACACAACTTATTGAAACACTGCTCTATGGAATAACCGGTTCGAAACTTGTTCGGAAAAACAAAACAAATGATTCAATTATTTTTACGCCGAAAATCTTAATTCCCTTTTTAACAGAAGTGATTTGCGATCTCTCCTCGCTCGCTCGGAGATTCAATCTATTAAGTTTTTCCAACTCTGAGTGATCCCATCTTTAATTACTGAGTACTCTTTCACACTCACAAATGGCGAATTATCTTCAAAATGGCAATGCAATGACTACATTTTCTATTGGTTAGTGTCTTTTGTACTACCAATCACAGATAGTTTAAAGCTCCGTTTATCATTCCAATCTTTCCAAAAATAGCTACACTAGTTTATCTCACTCGTACTAAGAAATGAACCCTTAAAAAGGATGAAGGATGTAATTTGAGTTGTAGATACCTAAAAAGCCGGGAATACATCTGACAAACGTTGCCGTTCGTTCGCGTTGTTACCCGTTTTCACCCATTCTCTGGCAACGTTTGTGGTAACAGTCATGAGCGACAGACACGTGCCGAGCCAGTGCATACGCTAGCGTTCCACACATTCGCGCGCATTTGTGCTATTTTGTAAAAATTTATTTTTTGTTATTGAAATGTGTCATTCAAATCTGATACTAAGTTCATACCATCGTATGTACCTCTACTTCTATATAACTCGTGCATCCATACACTTCTCTGTTTTTTTTTCTTTTTTTCTTTTTGTCGTTTTAAAATTGTACTTATAACAATGTATGAAGTACTCGCTATAATTAACTGATTATCACTCATTGTTGAATTAAATTTCCCCGTAACAGTTAAATCGACCTTTTCGTACTAAAACGTAAGCAGACTGCACCTAAACGCTTTAAAACGCGTCTACATAGCAACGTTTGCTGTCACTTGTGGCTTGCCATTTCTTTTTGATCTTTTAATTTTTACCGACATCCGATGGAAAACATTCATTCGCACTGCTAGTCATTTGTACCATATTGAAATCGCTGCGAATCGCGGTCCACACATGGCGAACGCAAGACATAAATGTTTGGCAACGCGAACGAATGACAACGTTTGTCAGATGTATTCCCGGCTTAGACTTAGAAACGTTCCTCGCGCTAGAATCATCAAAATAATTACTATATGTTGCATCACGAAAACATCACAAACTCTAATAAACACTAGTCGAGTTTTTAAATGCTCATGAAGGCCCTTAGAAATTGTTGGAGACAGTTGAACACATACTGGGTTCCTAAAGTTCTTAAAAACCCATAAAACCTGAGAAAGGCTCAGTTCTTAAACAATCAAGATTTTAAAAGTTATACAACATTCTATTTGGACATCCCCAAATGCCTTTCTTAAAGGCACAACCAATAAAGACTCATAGAGGATCTAAAGCCGCGTAAAATCCCTAAGGCATTTAGAAAACCCGAGACTCTTTTGAGGATTTATAAAGATTCCTTAATGATGTTTTCCTCCCAGCAAGGAAGAAGTTGTTAGTTTCAAATGTAAATTCACC